CAAAGAGCAATTGATTTGATAGTGTTACGTTGAAAATGTAGTCGCCGGAATATGCGTTTGGTAGTGTATGTCTCATATTTAAGAAAAAAACCGAAAAATCGAATCGATAAAAAATCGAATTAATTGGTTTGGTTTGGTTCCAATATTTGAAAAACCAACTTACTTGATTTGATTTCTTTTTATGGAAAAATCGACCCAAACCGAACTATCAACACCCCTATGTACAATAGATATTAGTAGAGAATATGTTTTAGACATCTACACTTTTACTGTTTTTAGGAGTGATCCAGCCTTTTTAGAGATTTATATTTTTAGAAAAAATATACAGAATGCTTTCTAGGATTAATTTAGCCATTCAGAGATTTCTATCTTTGAAAAAAAAAATACACGGAACTTCTAAAACTTTTTAGTTGTATTTGCATATATTTACATTGAGATGAGTTTAAACAGAGTAATATGATCAGTAAAAATTCATACACTGAATATCCAAACACGCTTATTTTTTTGCACTGTTGGAGTGAATTCAAGAGAGAAGAGAGACTTACNGGTTTAAATTTTTAGAAAAAATATACAGAATGCTTTCTAGGATTAATTTAGCCATTCAGAGATTTCTATCTTTAAAAAAAAAATACACGGAACTTCTAAAACTTTTTAGTTGTATTTGCATAATATTTACATGAGATTAGTTTAAACAGAGTAATATGGTCAGTAAAAATCCATACACTGAATATCCAAACACGCTTATTTTTTTGCACTGTTGGAGTAAATTCAAGAGAGAAGAGAGACTTACAGAGCTTAGGTCGTCGGCGATGTTGATCGATTGTGTCGGCGAATCGCGGTTCAGGCGCACTGCCAAAAAAGAAGAAGTTATAATTAAAGAGAAAAAAGATAAAATAAAGAATATTCAGTGCACGCCTAATTAATTTGTGTCCTAATTAGTCATGAACTTGGCAGATTAATACCTTTTTAAAGTCAAATATTATTTGGATTATCATATTCAGTGCGTGATCTTTAAAATATTTTTGGTTAGAACTCTATTATTTTGGATAATTTTTTATATTTGGCTAAAAATAATGAAATTTCAGCTTATTATTTATAGATTCCCAAAACAAATACAGTTAAGACAAAAACAAAAACAAAAATAATATATATATATATATATATATATAAGAGTTGATGAAGTTGAGGGGCTATGCGTAAGATGAGCAGGGGCAAAGCGATCAAGCCGGATGAAATTCCGGTGGAGTTTTGGAAGAGTGCGGGCAAGGCAGGCTTGGAGTGGCTCACTAGGTTATTTAATATCATTTTTAGAACGAAAAAGATGCCCGAAGAGTGGAGGCGGAGCACGATGGTTCATGTATACAAGAACAAAGGTGATACCTAAAATTACAATAATTATCGGGGTATCAAGCTGCTTAGTCATACTATGAAAGTCTAGAAGAGAGTGGTAGAGCTAAGGGTGAGTAGGAGTGTGTCTATTTCTGAGAACCAGTTTGGGTTTATGTCAGGGCGTTCGACTACAAAAGCCATCCACCTTGTTAAGAGATTGATGGAGCAATATAGGGAGAGAAAGAAGGACTTGCATATGGTGTTCATCGACTTAGAAAAGGCGTACGATAAAGTTCCGAGGGAGATTTTGTGGAGATGTTTGGAGGCTAGATGTGTACTTGTTGCCTACGTTAGGTTGATTAAGGACATGTATGATGGAGTAAAGACCCGAGTGAGGACAGTGGGTGGGGACTCGAACCATTCTCCGGTTATGATGGGGTTGCATCAGAAGTCGGCACTCACCTCTTTTTCGTTTGTTCTGGTGATAGACGTACTGACGCGCCACATCCAAGGGGAGATGTCGTGGTGCATGTTATTTGCAGATGATATTGTATTGATTGACCAGATGCGAGACAATGTGAACGCACAATTTGAAGTATGGAGGCAGACCCTGGAATCTAAAGGTTTCAAGTTGAGTAGGACCAAGACAGAATACTTGGAGTGTAATTTTAGTGGCGAGACTCAAGGGGAAGGGGAAATGAGGCTGGACTCACAGGTCATCCCTAGGAAAAGGAGTTTTAAGTATCTTGGATCTATTATTCAGGGGGATGTGGAGATTGATGAATATGTCACACATCATATACTCGATTCAGGTATTTTGTGTGACAAGAAGATGCCACCGAAACTTAAGGTTAAGTTCTAGTGAGTGGTGGTCAGACAAACGGTGTTGTATGGGGTTGAGTGTTGTCCAGTCAAGATCGCTCATATCCAGAAGATGAAGGTAGCAGATATGAGGGTGTTGAGATGGATGTGCGGGCACACCAGGATATATAAGATCAAAAATGAGGTTATTCGCGACAAGGTGGGTGTGTCCCCTATTGAGGACAAGATGCGGGAAGCGCGGCTCAGGTGGTTTGGTCAAGTGAGGAGGAGGAGCACAGACGTTCCGGTGATGAGGTGTGAGAGGTTGACATTGGAGGGCTTACGGAGAGGTAGAGGTAGGCCAAAGAAGAAGTGGAGAGAGGTGATTAGGCAAGACATGGTACAACTTCAGCTGACCGAGGACATGACCCTTGGTAGGAAGGTATGAAGGTCGGGGATTATGGTAGTAGAGTATGTAGTCTAGAGTATTCATAATAGTAGTATTAGCACACAATCTCGCTTTCTGTTGGCAGTAGGTTTTTATGCCTACCCGTTATTTTCTTTCATTGTTGATCACCTTACTGTATTGTTGTTTTTATTCTGCTTTTATATAGCTTTTTGGTACTGTCCCTTCTTGTCTTTATTTTTATTAATGTGGTACTTATACTTTCATAAGCTGAGGGTCTATTTGAAATAACCTCTCAATCCTCACAAGGTAGGGGTAAGGTCTATGTACTCACTACCCTCCCCCAA